TAAAAATTTAATGAACTTTCTGTACGAAAATCGATGATAAAATTTCAAGGTATTTAAAAGTAATTATTGTAAGCATTTAATGGTTTATATAAGGAACATTTCGCAATATGGTAATTCTGTAGCAATACATTTACAAATTGTCTTCAATTTTTACATTTGAATAGAGAATGGGATAAAGAAATTAAAAATCGCAAACAACGAAAGCCGAGTCTACTTCGGGCTATACTGCGGGCGTTTGGCTTCTGGTACTTCATGTCCGGATCCCTGTCTTTACTATCAGTAAAACAATTCATACGATCCGTAATCTCTTCACTGTATTAACCATATATTATTTGCTCAATTAAATAAATAGGAAGGCATTATTAGATCACTACAGCCCATAGCGATGGGCTTTTTTGTCAAATTTTTAGAGGATTATAGAAACACAGGAATGACTGACCAAAAAGTATTACAAAATTTCTATATCATGTCCGCAATGATACTACTATTGGGCATTATATACATACTCTTATATCACCCGTACTTTTTCAAAATGACCCGAAAGGGTATGCAATTGAGGTTTGCACTTAACCATACATTACACAAACTGGCATTACTATCAAAACTCATAATCTAACTCGTTGATTACTTGATAACCCATAGGATAGCGTGTTGTAATCTAATATATAGAAAGGCGCTTCGGCTGAGTCACAAAGCGCTCGGCAAGACTACAGTCGGCCAAATGGTTAACTTGATCTCCAACGACGTGAACCGATTCGACAACTCATTGATATTCATACCATTCATACTGACGGGTCCTTTCCAGACGGCCATCACAATCGCCTACCTCTACAACGTTACTAATCTGGGCCTTCAGTGGTCGGTGTTTGTCGGGTCGTCGGTGCTGTTGGTGTACCTGCCCTTCCAGATGTATATGGGACGGCTGTTCTCCATGTTGAGGGGCAAAACAGCTATACTGACCGACGAGCGGATCCGTTTGATGAACGAGATAATACCGTCGATGCGTGTGATTAAGATGTACACCTGGGAGAAGCCGTTCGCCAAAATGGTGGAGATCGCCCGCCGTAAGGAAGTGGCCAAAATCAAAATCACCTCGCTACTTAGAGGCGTCAATATGGCCCTGTTCTTCGTGTCGGCCAAGATTATCATCTTCCTATGTCTGGTGGCGTTTGTGCTCAATGGCGGCACAATCACCGCTCAGATAGTGTTTGTGGCCATTTCTCTGTTCAACAATTTGCGCCAAAGTCTGACCCTATTCTTCCCGTACGGCATATCCCAGGGCTCGGAAGCGCTCATCTCTATTCGACGCATACAAGTAATGATAATAAGTTTGTGTAAAGTTTGCAAACATTTTACTTTAATTGTGTTTTTCATTTCATTTTGTTAGGCATTCCTAATGTTGGAGGAGAAAGAGTTGGCATCGGATCACATCGACAAAACACAAAACATCACTAATGCTGCCGATGCCGGCGTCTGGTTGGACAAAATGACGGCCACGTGGGACGCCGAGGAGCACTCGGAATCCACGCTTAACGACATTACGTTTAGCTTAACGCCCGGCGAACTCATTGTGATCGTCGGTAATTATGGCCGAAAAAAAATCAAATGTTATAAGTGTTTATAACAATAAATATCGCTCTACAGGTTCTGTCGGTTCGGGCAAGAGTTCAATACTACTGAGCGTATTGTCCGAAATACCCATCACATCGGGTAAATTGAAAGTACGGGGTAAAGTGGCCTACGCCAGGTATGTTTACCATAACTAAATTGTTTCATTTATTAGAAGTAAACTAACCTTGTTTTGATTATATGTGTGTCCAGCCAACAGGCCTGGTCTTTCGCCGGCACTGTTAAGGAGAACGTCCTCTTCGGCAGTATCTATGATGAAGAGAAATACCGTCGAGTGCTTCACGTTTGCGCTCTCGAAAAGGATATGCAATTATTTCCAAACGGTATAAATGTTTTTTCATTATTTTTATAATTCAATAACAAATTGTTGTTAAATCAGGCGATCAGACAATTGTGGGCGAAAGGGGTGTCTCATTAAGCGGTGGCCAAAAGGCTCGCATCAATTTGGCCCGAGCTCTGTATTGTGACGCCGATATTTACTTACTGGACGACCCGCTCAGGTATGTGTTGGGCATCAAATGCCGTAAACTTTACCACAACATGACTGACCATATACTATGTGTGCCCTATCAGTGCCGTGGATGCGGCCGTCTCTAAACACATCTTCGAGAAGTGCATTCGCGGCTATCTTAAGGACAAAGTGGTACTTCTGGTCACACATCAGCTGCAGTTCATACGAAACGCCCACAAAATACTGGTGCTGAAGGACGGCCGCACGCAAGCGCTCGGCAATTATCCGCAATTAGTGAACGCCGGCATTGATTTCATCAAAATCGGCGACGAAAAGGACGAGAAGAAAGAGGGCGCAGGCGGTGGCGATCAACTGGTCCGCACCGGATCTGTGAAAGGCGAGCGCTCTGGCCATCGCCGCGCTTCCTCTGTGTCGGTCCACTCGGCCGAAGACGAAGAGCTCCAGAACTACATTGAGGGTGAAAAGGCTCAGATACAACGGGGCGAACAACAGCGCATGGGTTCCGTCAAAGCCGCTGTCTATTGGCTGTACGTGCGCTCCGGCGGCGGTTTCTTCCTCCTCACCATTCTTGTCATATCCAATATATTGACACAATTGCTGTTCAATGGCAGCGATTACTTCCTCACCCTCTGGACGGACAGCGAACAGGGTCTCTACCAGTTCACGTGGGTTAAAAACTTGGACCGAGATCAGTTTATCATCATATTCGCCGCACTGGTCGCCGCACTCTTCTGCCTATCGCTGGTGCGGACGACTGTCTTCTTCACGGTATGCATGCGATCGTCGATAACATTACACAACCGGCTGTTCGAGAGTGTGATTCGGGCGCCGATTTACTTCTTCGACAACAACCCGATCGGTGTCCTATTGAACCGATGCTCGCGCGATATGGGCCTCATCGACGATATGGTCCCCTCCACCGCCTTCGACGCCGTCGAGATCTTTGTCCAACTGTTGGGCGTAATCATAATGAACGGCATATTAGCGCCCATAATACTGGCGCCGACAGCCGTACTCATCGTATTCTTCTACTTCTTGCGCCGATACTACATAACCAGCGCCCGGAGTGTGAAACGTCTGGAGGGTATCACCAGAAGTCCTGTCTTCTCCCACCTGTCCAACACTCTGTACGGCTTGTCGACTGTCCGGGCGTTTGGCGCTCAGCAGACTTTCGAGAAGAAGTTTGATCAATACCAGGACAGTCACACCGCCTCCTGGTTTCTGTTCATATCGGCCACGCGTTGGTTCGGTATTGTACTCGACTGGTTGTGTTGGATATACCTGATGGCCGTCACCCTCTATATGACTTTCCAGTACGACAATCTGGGGATGAGTCCCAGCGTTATCGGTCTAACGGTGTCGTCGGCCATATCGCTGAGCGGTATGTTTCAGTGGGGAGTGAGACAGTCGGCCGAACTCGAGAGCCAAATGACTTCCGTGGAAAGGGTGGACGAGTACAGCCACCTGACGCCGGAGCCCAACCTCGAGTCGATGCCCGATAA